TGTCCCCTGACTGCCAAGATTCGTTCAACACTGGAGCATAGGTAACATGATAGCCTGAGGACATTCTCACGGTGTGCTGGCACCAGAAACCTGCACCTGGAGGAAGGAGAAACCCCGAAGTGTGTCTTAGCCAAATAGAAAGCAGGTAACAAATCTTGCAGGCAAATACAAGATTACCTCAATTTGGCTTTTTTTTTTATTAGATAGAAATAAATTTGGCTAAATATGAGAGAAAACCCCAATTAGCAGCACATAAGTTTTATTTTCTCAAATAAAAGAGGTGGAAAATAAACAGACCTGGTATCTTCAGTTCTATGAAGCTCTTCCCAGCTTTTGCCTTTAGGGTGACCCTGATCCTTAGGTTTAATATGGCTGCCAGAGCTCCAGCCATCATACTCATGTTCCAGGCAGCAGCAGACTTCCCAGAAGTTGCACACAGTACTTTCACATGTATCTCATTGAGTAGATTTTGGCCATATATCCACATCCAGCTACAGTGGAGATCAGGAAACATTCTGGGAACTCAATGTAGAACTGTCTGTGAGACAACTGGCCTGATCTCTTCAGAGATGACTGCTCTAGATTTTAAAAGACTAAAGAGACATATTAGGTGAGCCTTGATTGACTATAGAAGATATTTTGAGGACAATAGGGAAAATTAGAATATGGACTGAATGTTATTTGATATTAGAGAATCATGGCTAATTTTGTTAGGTATAATTATAGAATTATGTTTTCATAGGAGCATGTTCTTATTTTTCGAAGATGCAGGCTACGAAGTGAGGTGCAGGCTAAGAGTGAGGTGTCCTGACATCTACTACTTCCTTCAAAATGTTTTATCAAAACTCAGTATGTAGCCTGACCGGTGTGGCTCAGTGGTTGAGTGTCGATGCATGAACCTGTAGTTCATGGTCCCATTCCCAGTCAGGGCACGTGTCTGGGTTTCGGGCTCGCTCCCCAGGAGGCAGCCAATGGATGATTCACTGTCATCATTGGTGTTTCTATCTCTCTCACCTTCTCCTCTCTCTGAAATCAACAAAAACATATTTTTTAAAAACTCTCAGTATATAAGTAGGTAAAGAGATTAATAAAGAAAACATGGAAAAGATAGTAAGAATTATTGATAGTAAGATAGGTGTAGTGGGCAGAGGGGGTATGGAAATTTATTATACTACTCTTTCAACTCTTCTCTATGTCTAAATTTCCTACAATAAAAATTGGGGCGAGTAGGCCTCCCCTGGGTTTGGCTGTTCCGCAGCCCTTTTCCACTTGTGGTCGCTGACTCCTGGTGGAAGGGAATGATGTTCCTCTCAGCACCCCGGGGCCAGCCAGTCCCGAGGGCCTGCAAGTAGTGGGGGATCCCCGCGGTCTTAGCCGGGGGATCTCAGAGCTCGAGGGGACTGGGAGAGAAGGCTGCATCTTGGCCCTCAGCTTCTCGGGGGGCTGTCACCCAGAAGGCGGCATGGCAGCAAGGACACACAGACCCCAGCACCTGGTTGAGACTTCGGCGTGGCAGGAGGTAGAAGAACCCCAGACGCCGTTAGGAGACTGTCCCCCCTTTCTGCCTGTATTACCTTAGGGCGGGCACTTAACTTCTGCTCCTTCACCTGTAAAGCGGGGTCACAGCCAGCGTGTCGCCCACCTTCGGGACTGCCTGGGGATGAGAGAAGCTGCCGTGTGCGATGTTGCTGTAAGTTGACAAATGTACAGGATTACAGTCTTAGGACGGTGGCCTTGCTTGCCCCAGAACTACTGCTTCCTCTTCTCATGCAGTTACCCACAGGCACCGGGACCAGATGAATGTTTTCAAACTTCTGCATGTGGCGGTTTGGAAATATCTCCACAAATTCTTTGACATCCCTCCCTTCAAAAATGGAACCTAAATCCCCTCCCCTTGAGTGCGGGCTGGACTCAGTGATTTACTCCTAACAAAGGGTAAAATACGTGATGCCCAAATTAAATCTGAATTTCGGAAAAACACATAAATTTTAGTAGAAGTATGACCCAATTATCGCATGGGATGTGCGTATGCTAAAGTGTGTGCATTGTTTATCTGGAATTCAGATTTATCTGGGCATCCTGTTGTTTTTGTTTGCTTTACTAAAACTGGCAACTCTATCCGAGCGAACAGAATGAACGTGGCATAGGGAGTGGTGATACTAGGCGTAAAAGACACTGCAGCTTCCACCTCGCTCCCTCTCAGGCCACCCAGCCTGGGAGAAGCCAGATGCCGTGGCGGGAGGACACTCAGGCAGCCCTATGGAGAGGTCCTCCAGCCCGTTAGCCTCAGATGCCTGCAGCCCCGGCCAATGCTTTGGTTGCAGCCTCATGAGAGACCCTGAGCCAGAACCACCCAACTAAGTTGCTCCTGAATTCCTGACCCACTGACACCATGTGAGATGATTGTTTCAAGCTGCCTCTGGCTCATCCCTGGCGGGCACTGCAGTTCCTACAAAATGTCCCCATTTGTAAGGGGCTCGGAGCTTGGATCACCAGGCCCTACTCTGCCACCTTCTATCAGACCACTCAAGTGCCCAGGGCAAGTTTCTATGAGAGCTTTTTTTTAAAAAAAGTAATGGCACACAGTAGAAAGTCTATCTGTTAAAAGAAGATTAATTTTTAGAGGAAAGTAAAAGGGGAAAGGAACTAATAATACTTCTCAGAGGTCCCATGAGGCCCTTTCCCTGCACGAGGAGATACTCGGGGCCTGGGGCTCAGTTCTGTGGATTCTGAGATGCCTGCTTCGGAGAAGTTATTTCATTTCTCAAAGCCCTGGTTTTAACTATAAATACAGGTGTGGTAATACCTATTTGCAGGACTTTTGTAGGATTAGAGATCGTTAAAATAACATTTATTAGGATAGGATGTGTTAAGCACTACTGTACTTCATATTTAATCTCATAACAACCCTTTGAGATGGGTACTGTGCTTCTCCCCATTTTCCACATTAGGAAACTGAGGCAAAACTTACATGATCACCCATTGCTAATAAGTACACAATGTGCCTGGCACATAGGAAGCATCTTTGTAAAAGTTGCTGTTAAGATATCTTTTAACCCTCCAAACCAATTTTTCTAGATGATAAAATGGGGCCTCGGTGGGGTTCGGTAAATCTCCCAAGGCCGACTCCAAGTCTGCACTCTCCCCGCACCTACGGTGGGGCAGTGAGTAGGTGAGCCCAAACTGCAAGCACATCCGTGGGGCCCTCCTGCTGCTGCCTGGCTGAGACGGTCATTCTGATATTACCCCTCCAACCCCAGCCATCCTCCTGCTGGTAAGCCCAGCGCAAGGGAGTTACGGAGTTACGCAGCCACAGAAAACATGCAGATTTCTGCCTTCTCTGATCAAATGAGCCACTGGCTGGCCCTCCTGGGTGGCAAGCCACCGGAGCTGGAGAGCAGTCCTCTCCCAGATGGAGCCCGGGTCCCCTTCTGCCACTGAGAGCAGATCCCTCCCTCCTCTCTCTCAAGTATCTGTTTTCCTGCCAGAATGGACTCATTTATCCAAGTCACACTCTTGGCCACCCCCCACCCCCATCTTCAAAGCAGCAACAGCACTTTTGTTCCTTCTTAGGCTAAAATCTCTCTGATGTCTTCTTTCTCAGGCAGAGAAAACTCTGCTCTTAAAGGGGCCCATGTGATTAGATTAGACTCACATAAATAATCTCCTATCTTCAACCATTTAACACAACACAGTCCTGGGAGTGCTATTTCATCATATTTGTAGGTTCCAGGGGTTAGGGCAGAGCATCTGGGGAGAGGAGGCATTTTAGAAGTTCTGCCTCCCACACGGCCTGAGATTAGTCGAAGGTAACTGTGTTAGTGCTGATATCCTGATTTTGATGGCTGAATTGTGGTTGTGTAACAGAAGGTACTTGTTTGCAAGAAATCCACACTGACACATTCAGGATGGTGGGGCATCAGATCAGCAGTTTACTCTCCTATGACTCAGTATTAAAAATAGTTCTTTGTAGTTCTTGAAACATTTCTATATATGTGTATGCAGTTAGATTAAAAAAATAGCTATGGATACAGATGTTCATATAGAAAAATGTATGGAAAAATCTAGAGATACAAAAGTTAACTGTGATTACCTGTGGGAAGTGGAATTGTTTGGGGGGAGTAGGTAAACAGCTTTTATTTGGGGGCTGTATTGTATAAATTTATTTATGAGTAGGTATTATTTTCATAATAAAATAAAAACCAGGGGAAAAAATCTTTGAAAAAAACAGCAAAGAGTGAATGAGCAGAGGGATGGCCAGGCTGAGGCCAAGATGGAAAGATGAGGCAACAGGACGTTATCACTATTGCAGGTACACGCTTCTCCACAGAGCTGCCGAGAAATTAAACTTAAACTAGAATCTGTACTGAGGCGGTGGGAACAAAGGTGATTTTCTGTTGGCTCTGAAGGCGTGCCAGGCAAGGCTGCAACTTCTCTTCACCGTGTGCTTTCCAGTATCAAAAAGATCAGTGTTGTTCCTTGTCTTTAGTTAATGACTGTACCTCTTTAGCCTCTTGTCTAGTATCTGTCTGCCTGATGGCACTCCACGCCACATGACCTGCGACTTGAAGGCAGGGAAACAACATTTCTTGTGATGGGTTGAATTGTGTTGCCCCAAAATTGATTATGTTGAAATCCTAACTCCCCAATACCTCAGAGTGTAACCTTATTTGGAGATAGGGTCTTTAGAGAGGTAATCAAGTTAAAATGAGCTCAATGGGGTGGGCCAAATGATTGGTGTCCTTGTAAGAAGAGATCAGGACACACACAGAGAGGGGAGATGATGTGAAGACACAGGGAGAGGACAGCCATCCACAAGCCCTGTTCTTACAACTTTTTTCTATGTTTGAAATGTCTTCAAAATAAAGTTAAAACTTAAAATAAATAGAGATAGAATATGAGAGCTCCAGGGAAACCCACTGCAGACCCCAGGTAGCAGAGGCCTGGAAGGACCTGCAGTGTCTGAAGCTTGTTGACCTTCTAGAAAGAGCTGGGATTTATCCAGGTTTTAAATGGCTTTATTTTTTCCATGATCCCCCCTTCCCTCCCTCAAATATCTAGTGTCCTTGCAATGTTAAAAGATCCTGGGATTTGAGTCTGGAAAAAGTCCCAAATGCAGTTCATGGTCTGACAGTGATTGAAGAAAGCCTTGTGCTGATTCTGGTGACCCTCACGAGTAGCTTTTACAGTCTGGGCTGGCCTCAGAAAAAGGGCTCTTTTAGTCTGCAGGATGTAGTTCAAGACAGAGTCCTCCCTCTCTTGATCTAGCCACAAAGGCTCTCCTGATTTAGTGGGAAGATTCCAGACCAGGCTTCCCACTGATAGCGTCCTCACCTCCGATGATCTGCTCCAATGGCATCTGTGACTCGGGGAAAACCCTGCTCCCTGGCAATAGAGAAAAAAAAGCAATTTCAGCAAATGATGAAGGATGGGCCCTGTTCTTACCAGAAGCCCACTTTCATCAGAGCTCTATCTGCTCCATAACTGCACCCCTCTCTCTCTCAATCCCAAACACACACCTCATGCCCCTACACTGTCTTTACCCAGGAATCTAGAGATATGAACACCCAAGCCTTAGATCAGAAGGCAGGCGATTTTAAGTAGGACAGCTCCCTGACATCAAGTCAATGTTACTGAATTAATGAGAATGCCACCAGGACTCCTCAGCCTTGCAAGTTAATCTTGAATTCCTTTGTCAAAGGAGCAACAGAGTAATTTTCCCTGTGTTTGAGCAACCCCTCAAGTCCTTTTTGCATGAAGAGTAAATACAGATCAGTAGGATCCCCTTGATTTGAGACATTCTGAATTGATACATTAACTTCTGTTTCAAGCGACACATGGCCCACTCACTTCAAAAGGGCCTCCAGCTCCCGCTTGACTCTGCCCACCACCGGTGGCCCCTGGTAGGTGAGGGCTGTGTACAGCTGCACCAGGCAGGCCCCCGCCCGGATCTTCTCCAGTGCGTCCTGCCCGCTGCTCACGCCGCCAACCCCGATGATGGGAACTCTGCCTGCAGAGAAGCACAGGGCAACACATGAAGAAGGGCAGACGATGTGAGAACCAGGGGCTCATTTTGGTTTCAGCCCTCAGCCCACCTGCTTGCTGAATGCGGCAGTTCAGGGAACACCAATTCTGATCACAACCCAGGAGCCCGAGCCACACACAAATCAGAAGCCATGGACACCGAATCCTTGCCTTGGGTGAGTGCATACATCTCCCGGATGGTTTGTGTTGATAAATCCCGGAGGGGCTTCCCACTTAACCCTCCTGTTTCAGAGCGCAGGGCACCCTGGAGGCCAGCAGGGCGACTCACTGTGGTGTTGGTGACAATCAATCCATCGATGCCCAACTGCAGTGTGAGACAGAGAAAGGGCTATCCAGTCAGGGCGTTGTAGGACTCAGAGAAGCTGTCCTGAGGGTCTAAACAGCAGGCAGGCAAGGTGCCCACATACAGCCCTTGGAATCAAGAACTATGCCAGACTTCACTGTGCTTCTTGAACAAGTGTCAGAATGAGCCTCAACATGACAATAGCTGCCATCACATAGTGAAAACCCATAAAGTTCCACGGGGACAGGGTTATAATCCTTATAACAACCCACTCTAGAGTGTGTTGTTCAAAGTCTCCAGGTAGTAAGTGATAGAACCAGGATTTGAACCCAGGACTACTTGGCTCAGTCGGTTTCCACTAGTCTCCTACAACACAGAGACCTGGTGTTAGGCTGAAGAAAGAGGGAAAGAATACAGGCATACCTTGGAGATACTGCGGGTTCGGTTCCAGACTGCCACAAAAAAGCAAGTCTCACAATAAAGTTATAATCATTTTGCTAGTGGAGGGCCTTGCCCTCAGTTTGTAAAAAACCACACCACCTGTGAAGCGCAGTAAAGCGAGGTTAGCCTGTCCCTCAGTCTGACGAAGGCTGGCCAAGGATGCAAGCAGAGCCTGAAAGCCCTTGCTGGACAAACAGGAGGGAAGAGGCATGACAAAAGCCTCATTCAAACATTTATTCAAGCAGTCACTCTTTATTATATGACAAATTAGGTCATGACAGATACCAAACCAGCCTTCAGTACCACAGAAAGGAAACCACAGAGGTTGCCATCTGGGCTAGCCCGAGGGGTCACTGATAGCAATGAGGGGTCCCTGGCCCCCACTCACCTCTCTCACCACACTGGCGATGTCCTCCTTGTCCCGGGTCGTGAGGTCGGGTGCGATCTTCACCAGCAGGGCTGGCTTGTGCTCTCCCTTTAGGGCATCCCTCTCTTGCAGCACCTACAGCGACATGTCGGCAGAGACAGGCATCCCTGAGACCACAGCCTGAGGGTGCAACTGTGACCTGCAGCCACAGATCAGTGTATTTTTACATCACCTATCAAACTAAAGCATAGCAATTTCTGCTTCCTGGAAAACACAGCCCTCAGTATGCAATATACCCCATGAAAGCAAATCTCATTCCATTCTCTCAAACAAAGAGATCCCCAAGATTGGGTCCCTAATGTGGTCATCAGCATCTAATAGCAGCTAATATATTATGAGTTTAGACTCTTGTTCCTAAAGAGATAACAAAGCTGTGGGACAAAAAGTCATTCAATTCATTCATTCATTCAAGTACTAGGTGCTAGGGACAGCATGGTCAACAAGACACATGGTCTCTCTCACAAACCTTTATTGTTTAACATCAGGGACAGATAGCTGAGAAATTAATTACTATTGAGCATAACTATTGAGCATCCCCATATGACAGGGGATTAAAGGTATGGTGAGGGGTCCTAACAGGTTGAGGTGTTAAGGACTCCTAAATTGTGACACTGAAGTTTGGCGCCTGGAGAATGAACAGGACAGGCTGGAGGAGCGGGCCCGGAGAGGTAATTTCCCACCTTGGTCAGCAGATGGCGCAGCTGAGCCTTTCCCTGAAGGCTCCGCAGCCCTGCGGTGTTGGGACTGGACACGTTCACTACCAGGTAGTCAGCCAAGGGGCCCAGGACTCGAACCCCCTCTGTGTAGTCCGAGGCAGCGTCCACCGAGGTCTTATTCTTCCCCAGGTTTATCCCCAGCGGCAGCCCACCTGCAAATATCACTAGTCAAAACTTTGTCCCCACACACCACTTCCTTGACATGAAGAGCCCATGAACAGGCTTACAGGCCTTCCACCTCCATCCAATGAGAACTTCCCGCACCAGCTGAAATTATATGCGATAGAGTAATGCAGCAATTTCTGTGAAATACTGTGAAATACTGCCTGGTGCTGCTGCCTGCTGACCAGGAAACAGCTGACCATCTTTGTCTGCGTAGCAACCACTACAATGTTCTACTGCACTGTGCCATAGTAATTTTAAAAATTTTAACAGAAAATGGAAAAATTCAGAATGCAAATACTAGTGATTTTTTTTTAAAAAAAAAAAGTAGGGCTCATAAATGTAATACAACTGAGAACAGACAGAAATCAACAGGAATGTCAGGGCAACTGTTGACTCTCAAGGGCTGGGTGTGCAGTTGTGAAGAAAACCCAGAATTAAAGGCTATGTATAAAATACTGGAAAATATTTTCAATTATCATGCCTAAAATGTAGAGGTATAACTGCTTTATAATTTCAGTTTTCTGAGAAGGGCCTCCCCCTATAACTAGGGTGACAACACATCCCAATGCTCCCAATGCTCCCTGATTACTCTTGTAGCCTGGGCATATTATTAATGCCTGCCCCCTTTCACTCTCAAAAGTGTCTCAATCTGCACAGTAAGTAATACAACCACCTTACTTAAAAATCCACTGGATTATCACTTGACTAGCATTTTGAACTTTTAGAAAAATATATTTCAGTAACAAGTTTTGTATGAAAGCAAGGCATTTTCTCCTCAAGTACCATCTTATCTGCAAAGGTCAATGGTACTGGTGGCTTTTCCATCTGTTGGCTGGAAAAAGACCTAAAACATCAAGTTAGCTCAGAAAACTTGTGTCAGGTCAAGAAAGATCAAAGAACATCTAGTCCTGCTAACCACCTTCTCATACTCTAAATGCAGTCAGCCTTTGATTCTCAGCTTGAAAGTAAATGAGGTCTGTGTAGCTAATGTGTGTGTTGCGGGGGGAGAAGAACCCATTAGACGAAGGTTATATAACATGGTTTCCAAGCTTTCCAAGTTTAGCCTCCATCAAGCCAAGGACATCTGTAAACTCGTTCTTTCCCGCTCAAGTAAACTGGCATGAAAGAGTATCACTTTCACACAGCTGATAGGTCCTTCATTACTAGTCATCTGCCCACACTGACAAGGTTTTGGAGTTAGACAGAAATTGCTGAATTACTCTGTCCCCAAAGGGCACCACAGCCTTTATCAGCTCGTGTTCCCTGGCATGGTGCCAGCAATAAGCTGTCTTCTAGCTGTTGGGAAACACTGTGTGCAGAGCTCTGCTATAAAATTTTGCTTCACTCCAATGAATCTTAGTGCCAGAGTAGGGCTGAGAGGATGGGCAAGGGGGAACAGGGGAGAAAGGTGGTGTAAAGGGCACTGTGGACAATTAAAAGGAGAGGGAGGCAAGCAGCCAGGAGAGTATCACAAACCATGAAAGTCACATTATGACCTTCAAAGTTCCCCAAATGGCAAGGTCTGGAGTATAGCAGGGTCTGGTTCTGCCAAAGCCAGGGGTTTACAAACAAGGGCGCTTCCTACTCCCCAAATCAGAGGCTGCTAACAGCCTCGGTCCCTGAAATGAACCTGATAACCCAACTCACCTCATCTCACCACCAGGATATCTAACGAGACTGAACCCTCCCGGGAGGAGTTCCGGGTGATCCAGCAACGGGAAAGGCCTGGGCCCCAAACAGTCCCAGAGAGCGCCTGGGAAGGTTTAGTGAGGACAACAGCACTGCAGCCACTAAGTGCATCTCCCTGGAGAGCCCCAGGGAATAAACAGCGCCTCCGAAGGTGGCCTTTCAAAATGCATGGCGCTTCCAGACTCCCAAATGCCAAGAAAGTTATCCCCGAGTGGGGGAAATGTGAGCGAGTGTGAGCAATTTTAATTTTCTTCTTTATGCTTCTCTGGTCACTAACGCTTCTATAAATAGCATGCATTATTTATATAATGGACAAACGGACAACAGAGCAGGACAAGGGAGATGGTGCTCAAGCCCTGCCCACAGCTTAGCAACCAATGTGATCACAGAGGAGCCACTCTGCTGTGCTCACTTCCAAACTGGCCCAGTTAAGTGATAACGTAGGTTACGTAATGAGGCAGAAACTAAGTGCATCTTTGCCAAACTGGGAAATTCTGTTAAAATCCTGGAAACTGTGGTACAACCAGGAAAATTTCTCTATGGAAGGAACCCTGAGTTCTGTAGTGTTTTGTTTTGTTTTCTATTGCTCAATCACGTTATGTCACCAGGAATGTTCCTGATGTTTCTCCCACATGTTTCCTTCCAACAAATGAAGAAAGGCACGCCACGCAGCCCCACTTTACCTTCTGTGAGTCTGGCCTGCGTCTGCTGTCTGGCCCGTAACCTGTGTTCCACCACCGAGAGCCCATGACTGTTAAATCCATATCTGTAGCACACAAGCAGATGGGGAGCAGACGAGGTTAGAGCCCTCAGCCAGAAGGCAAACGCTTTGGAGACATGGCTCCACGGCCATATGTATGACTTTTAAAAACAGAAAAGAAAAAGAAATTAGTCAGTTCTTAAGACTTCCAAGGTCTAAACACTCCTGGACCTCCTAGAGAACTTGTCAAAACACTACCAAACACACAAGGAAAGATTAAAATTTGCAAACAAGTCATCCAGCCAGCTAGCACTGGATACAGCCGGGACCTGTCTGGGCCCAGCCCCCACTCCTTACCTATGCAAACCCCTCTGCCCAGTGGAGCTGTCACCACTCCAACAACCCCATCTCTCCAGCTCTTGCCTGTGCTCCATGGGCACACCTCCTGCCACTCCATTTCCCCATCCTTTCTGCCTATTAAAATCATCCCCTTTTCCTGGCCCAGACCAAATGCCCCCTCTCCTCCTTGAGTAAAGCTCCCAGGCACAGATGATGCCTCACCTCTTGGCATCATTGAGCTCTCTGTACTGGCCTTGCTCCTGGTTTGGGATGTATTTGTATGTTTAGGTTCCCCTACTGGGTTATAATCTTGAGGACAAGGGATATGTCTTACCTCTCCATCACCCTGCCACTAGACATTCCACAAAGGGAGTGACCTCATCTCTCTTGCTTGTCCCGTCTACCCAGCCCACTGTGGGATGCTGTTCTAATAGCCATCCTCCCTTCCCTCCTCCCCTGATAATGGCTGAAAATGGCAATGACTCCCTTCCCAGACCACTGGCAACTAAAGCACGAGCATGTGACTGGGCATGTCACTGAGACACAAGGTGATGCCTACTGGGGAGCTCCTGGGGCACATCCCCCCCATACCTAGGCTTCCTTTCCCTTCCTGCTCTCGGACATCCACAGGGACGATGGAATGCTTGCAGCTGGGGTAGCCGTCTTGCAAACAAGGGAAGGCCCAGAGAAGCTGGACCAGAGTCCTGACATTGCCCCGCTGCTCAGCCATCCCTGGAAGTGCCTACTACACCTATTATGAGAGGAAAATAATTACAAGCTCCTACTCCTCAAGCTACTTTGTTACTTGTAGCCGAAAACACCTAACAGATACAGTGGAACATGCATTGGTTGACTAAATGAATAAAATCATCCATTCATTCAGCAAGAGTTTGTTGAGCACCCACTATGTGCCACGCAGAGCAAGGAGGCTGAACACACAGTGCTCCAGAGCACAGGCTCTCCTCTCTCAGCCACTTCTGCTCTGCAGGATTCCTCCAAGCACCGTCACCCTGGTACCTACAGTGATTTGGACATTCTGGAGATATTGACCCCAGCCTGCAATGCAGCAGAAAGATCAATAATCTGATCTCTAATGCTGGAAAATTTCCCTGAAACAAGCACAATAAAGCAGAAAGTGGCAGCCAAATCAACTTCCCATAGGTCAGTCTTCCAGAAGGCCATTAGTGGCCCCAAAGATGCCTACCAAAATCTCCCTAAGGAGGCTCTTCAAAATTCTATTACCAAAAAGCAGGAACTTCTTCACTTTCTGGGTTTGCTGTAGTGATACTGCCCAGGGATTATAAAGAAAAGGACTTTCACACTCTAGAAGGATCTCTCCTACTGAAAGCAGCTGTATATGATGATTGTTAAATTTTCCAGTTTACTAAAGGCTAGGGCAGTGCTGTCCAACATAAGAGCCATAGCTACTGAGCACTTGAAATGTGAAGAAAAACACACATTGGATCTGGAAGAGTTGGTACAAGGAAAAGTAGGTAAATAGCTAATCATTTTTACATTGATTATATGTTAAAATGATATTTAGAACATATTAAGTATTTAATTAAATAACATAATAAATATTACAAAAAACTAAATGGAATATATTACTGAAATTCACTTCACCTATTTCTTTTTACTATTTTATCACAGCTACTAAAATATTTTAAATTACACATGGGGCTTGCATTATATTTCTACTAGATAGCACTGGGCAAGAGCAATGGAGTAACAATGTGGAAAAAGCACAAATTCAAGTCAAATAAGCCTAAATCTGTACCCAGGCTCTCCTGCTTATGATCTTGTGGCTGTAGTTATGTTGTTCTTTGAGCCTCAGTGTGTATATGTGTTAAGCTAAAATCCTAAAACCTGCTCCTATGCCTGGCACATAGTAGATGCTCCACATGGTTCCTAAAATGACAGGATAAAGTCCACATCATATGACAGAAAAAATATCCCGAGTGCACTGCTGTTACCTCTGAGCTGCTCACCTACCTGTTAATGATGGCTTCATCCTCCGGGAGGCGGAAGACTCTGGGCCTGGGGTTTCCTTCCTGAGGTTTTGGGGTAACGCTGCCTATCTCAACAAAACCAAAGCCCATCTTGTAAAGTCCATCCACAGCCTCCCCATGCTTGTCAAATCCTGCAGCAATTCCTACTGGGTTTCGGAATTTATGGCCCAGGACTCTCACTTCCTAGGAAGAGGGAAACAAAGTCAGAGGTACACAAGGCTATACCAGTGTTTCTCAAGGTGTGGTCCCCAGCACACCTACATCAGAATTCCCAGAGGAGCTGTTAAACATCCCATCTCCAGTCTAAGGAATCAGAATCTTTGGGGGATGGTGGGCAGAATGGAGCTCTGAGCCAATCTATCTCTAACAGTGCTCTCCAGGTGGTTCTGATGCCTGCTGGAGTCCAAGAACCATTAGGCTTTATCATCCATCGCCAAGACCGAAGAAAAATACAGTGTTTCCACCATGGGCTGAGCAGGATATGGACACTGTCTTTTGCAGTTATAGCTAATAGTCATCCCTTCTTATCGTTGGTGGGAGAGTGGCTCACTGGTGTCAGCCCCCTAGCTAGTGCTATTCTGAAACAGTGTCAAGCAGCAAAATCCTTGAGTCAGTCTAGAAAGTCAACCCCAGCTGTGTCCCTCCTTAGCCAAGCTGATCCCAAGCCCCAGTGATGACCCCGAGACCCCTGTGGGGCACTAGAGGGAGAAAAGTGCTCGGCTGGGCAGAAATGAGTGCTGGGCTCCAGAACCAGGGTGTGGCTGGAGATAGGTTCTTCCCTGTCAGGCACAGTGGGTTCTAGAGTGTTCTCTAGAATGAGAGTAACTGAGGCCTAATTGCTGCCAGGTCTAGCCTGACTCCTAAATAATTCAGAATTCCTACCCCGATGGAGCCAAAAAATCCAGTAGCAAAACCAATACTTTAAAAGGCATGAAAGAAATCAAGAGCTATCACAAAGCCAGCGACTGCCAATGGAATCCATCACTGTCAGCTGAAATCCTTTGCCAAGGCTAACAAGGGTCTCCAAGGGTGGGTACCAACTCGTCCTGGATGCAGGAGGTAGAAAGACTGCTCCAAGAAGGGGAGAACAAATAATGAAGGTGAATCAGGGACGGTGAGACAGGACGTGTAGCTGGACCAGCAGGCCTTCCTCCAGGCCAGGGGCCCTCAACCCTGGCTGCATGACAGGACTCCCAGGGAGCTTTCAGTCCTCACTCCCAGAGATTCCCAAAAGCACCCCAGGTGATTCCAACACACAGCCAGGATTGAGAACCACAGAATCAGGGAAATGGTAGAAAGCTAACACTAGAATGTTAAGTTGGGGTGAGAATATCAAGAGTCCTGGCTGTCGGGTGAGGAGTCTGGACCACCTCCTAAATAATGAGTTGCTGAAGGTGGGGACCCACACAGTGGTGTTTAGGATCACTGCTCAAAGGCCGCACTTGCTCTCCATATTGGGGGTGTTTACAGGACATAGTTTTGTACCTCCCCCAGCCATAACCTCACTTCCTTCCAAATCCCCCATCTCTGCATCCCCCTCTTAACTCACTCCTGCTACACGGGGCTCCAGGACTCTCAAACTAGCAGCTGGAGATGAGGAAGGCTTAAAGGAAAGAGCGCTCTGATTCCACGCTGCCTTTAAGTGGGGTAAGCCAGGAAAAACGCCACATCTGCTCAAAACTGCAGGCTGGGGAAGTGAAACGGATTCTAAGACAAAAAGGGAAAGTGCAGAGAAGGGCCGCTTTGGTTTATAATGGTGACCCTTCCACGAAGAGTGCTTCTTGTTTGTTGTCTGCATGTTCACATCATCCTGATGTCCCCCATTTGGTAAGAAGTCTCGCAGACGGAAGCTGTCAGGACCTATATGAGGATGCAGGTTCTAGAAGGATGTGGATTCTTCTGTCTTCTTTGCTGCAGTAACCCCAGCACCCAGAACACTAACAGGCACATGGTGGGGCCCATGAGTTAGTGTCGAAGTGAGTAACCCTCGGACAGGTGTTTGTATGCCTTCCTCAAAGGGCTTAGCTAGGCATGCCTATGTCACATCAGATGTTCAATGACTCCGGCATGTTTTCATATTTTGCAGAGGTGCAAACTGAGCTATCTAACCTCAGCAAAGCAGGTCAGTGACTAAGGGGACCGTTGCCAATAGTCAGACTCCATGGGTTTGAATTCTGGCTCATCCACTTCCCAGCGGTGTGACTTTGGGTAAGTCACTTAACTACTCCGCACCTCAGTTTCCTGATCTGTAGATGGGGATGATAGGTTTTTTATTGGGGCTACCTTGGGACTCTGCTTTTCAAGAGGCTCAGCCCCAGCTGTGTAAATTAGGGGACACTAACCTTTACCTTATATTGCATAAGGTGTTCCAAGAGCACCTACCAGCATGTCAGAGTCTTGAAATGTGGCACGAGGAAGGAGCCCCAGGGAGGTGACACGAACAGCCAGCCTATGGGCTGACTCGGGGTCCAGCAGCCCCTGCAAAGTTGGCATCAAGTGTTCGGTGTAGAAATGTTCATCCCCTGTGGCCGTCAGGTAGGAGGCAAAGAGAAGTCCTCCGCCCCCCAGGATGATCAGGGCATCCTGGGCCCGCTTCTGGAAGAAAAGAGAGAAAAAAAAAAGAGCCCACTGGCCCTCAAAGCCAGGCTGCAGTACCTTCTCTGAGCCCTTGAAACCAACACACACAGAGGACGTAATGACATGCCACATGAAGCATTGTCCCTAGCCTTCTATTAACACTGGTCTCCTTCATTTCCAGTCTTGCTCACACATTGGCCTCTATAGTCAGAAGATGTTATCTACACTTCTGCTGACACACACTGGCCTGGCCCTGAAGGACTCCAGGCAAGAGGCTTCTTCAAGAGGGGCATTACTGCCTCCTAAGGGACACGTGGTGGGCATCTGAGGGAATGCTAATAGATTTAGTGTGCAGGAATCAGTAGAGTCAGACGTCCTGCATTGTTTTAGACCATCTGACAGATGAATTATCCAGGTCTTGTATGACAGTGGAATGTGCTACTGACATTCAGTAAGTAAAAAATATCTATTTGTATTATCTGAGCCTAGAACCAAACTCTATTTCACCAAAAAAACATAAACTATTTCCTGCACAGTGTTCATGTACATTGACTTTTCCAGGAATACAAATTACCTTGTAAAATGAGGGGCTGTACTGTTTTGCAAGGAATTGGCCCCTATTTCAGAAAATCCCATCAGGAATGAAACAGTGCTTTGCTTAGGGTATTTGACGAACATACCTGTGGCACTAGAATTTCTAAGCAGAGGCTTAAACACTTGACTATCTCACTATCTACTTGAGTCATGCCCTAACATTTACATATTGAAATACAAATTATTCTTAATTCCTTTCATTTCTCCTTTATATTCCAGTTAGGATATTATGTTGACTTTTTAAAATTATACATAGGAAGATTACATTATACATAAATTCCATTTCAGGTTAATAAAGGGGGTTGCAAAATGTATTTTTAAAAAGGAGCATCAGGTCTTATTGGGTCAAGAACCACTCCTAGTTCAAACATGGTTCATAATACTTTCCTCTAATTATCACTGGCAGATGCTGAGCCATTCACTCATTCATTCAATCACTTATAGATGCGCTAATCAGTGAGTCCCTGCCTTCATGGGGAGTACAGTCTCACGAGGAGACAGAAACCAATGGCCATGCAAATATATAACTGTACAATTGCTATGAAGAAAAAAAAAAAGTATAGGGTAATAAAGAACCTAACCTAATCTCCAAGGTAGAGAAAGGCTTCCTTGAGGAAGTGACGCTAATATTCAAAGGATAAATAGGAGTTAACTAGGGGGCAGTGGGGGAAGAAAAAAGTGGCAGAGGAGGAGGAGATGCTCCCAGAGAATGGGGAGGGGAAAGGTTTGTTTTGAAACCGAGGAGTAAAAGCATGGCTTACAAAGAAGCTGGGAAGACAGGCAGAGATCTTGGCCAGAATAAAGATTTAGATTTTGTTCCCTAAACAAGAAATGATCACATTTGCCTTTAAGGATCACTCCTAGCTGTTCACGTAGATAAGGCATTCGTGGTCTTCCCTTCCAGTCTCCGGATTGTAGGAACGCCCCTTAACGTCAATCCACAAACGGCAGCACCGTTACGCGGAGCCCCCGCCCTAAAACTCTGTCTAGAGGGGTTGGGACCGCGTCCTGTACTTTCCACGCTGGCTGCTGCCCACCGTGCTGGGCGGTCACGCACTCCCTGAGCGCCGCTGTGCCAGGCTCGGTCGGGTCGGCCCACGTGCGCTGGCAAAGCCCGGCCTGTGCACAGACACGCGCGCCGCCTGCACACGCTGGCCAAGTACATGTGCACAAATG